AATTTTTTTTTTAACTCTGCTGTTCAGATCTCCCTAACACCATGTTCTGGGAATAAATCCTAAGAATTATTACCCAAATTTCCAAGCAATTATATTATATTCAGATCCTTTAGATTAAAGGAACAAGTACACATTTAGAAAAACATTTTTAGAATCATGGTAATTTAAGATTTGTTGTTTCTGATAGGAGAGAATTCAAGTAAGAAGTGGAACACACACCACTAGGAAGAATGTATGCAATGTGTTAATTATTGAAACCGTCCTTCCAATTTGATTTGAAACTGTCTCATTGCTATTTGTTTATCAATAAAATTATGGGGGAAAAAAAGAAGTGGAACACAGTTTCCTTACTGGCATGAGAGAAGCAGGATGGCACCGCATTTTGCATTCTATGAGCATTTCCTAGTAGTATTTCGAAAAGTAGTACATTCGTTATTGTATTAGTACTTGGCCATTGACATTTTGTCAGACACTTATAGATTAAATTTAAGCTATCAAAAACATACCTGTGAGTAGCTAAGCGTTGATTGTGTTGTACTGTACAGAAGTGGAGATAAACACTAAATGCATGCATTTTCCAAGTTACAGCCCACCTAATTGATGTATTCAAGCGGTCTTTGCCTTCTGCTCCAAAATGTCCACCAGAAACATTCAGTAAAGATTTTTTTGAGAAGAAGTGGAGGTAAGCTACTCCAGTAATGAATTCTAAGTAGTGTTGGTCAGATAGCGATTGAGGAAATGGAGTGAGGGGGAGGGCATAGCTATGGGCGGCAGCATCGGTGAATCTACAGCCATTCATCTCCCATGATTTCAGCAACCCAGTGGATAACTGGGCTTTTCTTTCTTTTTTGTAAGCTAAAGCATCGATTAGTCTTTTTCATCATGTTTTGCTTTCTTTTCACATAGGCACACAGAAACATCAAAGAAATGGAAAGAAAAGACAGAACAAAAGAGGTAACTCTATCCTTACCAATACATAAGCATGTAAAAAGGCCCAGAGTCAGAGGATCTTAGGAAGAGATGGGCAGTGAGGACCTACCATGAAGGCTCCCAGCGTTATTTGAATCTTTCCTACATTTCTGCCACAGTGCACATGTGACATTGTCATCATCTCATGCAGGAGCCCCCTTGACACTTAGGCAGCTCTTCTCCCTCCCCTGAGCAACTCGGTTGCCAGGAAGACCGTGCTTTTCTTCTTCTAATGTACCCATCAATCTTCTGGAGCTGGACGCAGTGCATGGTTATCAACATTCACGGAATCTTGTCATTTGCATGAGGAATGTGCTCTAAGCATCATGTTTTGATTTTTTTTTTCTTCTCCTCTTGCCTGAGGATTCCATGTGTGGCTCTCTTTCTATAAAGAGAGGAAGCCATACCTGCATTTGTTGAGTATGTAGAGTAATACTTGTGGTAGTTTTGCAAACATGTGTATGGCGCCTCATCAAAATGATGCCCAGGATGAGTATCTTCGTTAAGCTATCAGTGTTATCTTGTGAAATGTGTTGAGGAAGCGTCAACTTGCGACTTTAGCCTCCATATCTCACCTCTGTCTGCACTGTAAATTGGAAAGTGTGCACTGTATTGTCTGCAGTGGGGCAACACAAACCCATTTTTTGATCCATCTTTCTTAGATCTAATGGCTGAGGTCTCTAGAATGACAACCAACAAAAAAAGAGATTAACCAGACAAAAAGTATGCAGATGTATTTACTTACGTCACCTAGGAAGCTTCATAAGACAATGAAGACCCAGAAAAGTTGGAAAAGCTTAGTATTTTAATGCTAAGTTCCATGGAAGATGGAGAACTCTGGAGAAGCATGATAGGACAAAAAGTTCAATCAAATATTAATAAACTTAGAGAAACTTAGCAAGCCTTGATTGTTCAAATGCTTCTCTGTGTCAAAGTCTTTCGAGGAAAGAATTCTCCTTTTGTCTGGGCAGAGGAGGGACACCTCTTACAGGAGGGTCTGATGACTTGCTGCAGGAGAAAGCATCCCTCTTAGGTTTTATGATCCAAAAATTATTCCCAAGAGACTGATGGTGGTGGGTGACAGGGAGAATGGAGACTGTGTGGTCAGGAACAATGTGAGATGGAGATTTTCTTACTTATTTTGTACTTTTTACTACATTTTTTTTAATTTATGGGGGATGGGGAATAGCTAAGTAGAATAAACGCTTGCCTGCAAAGTGCAAATGCCTGAGTTCAATCCCCAATTCCTCCAAAAAAAATAAATAAATGAAAATAAAAATAAATTTTATGTATTTGGTACAGGGTCTCATTGCATGGCTAGGACTCATAGTGATCTCCTGTATTCAGCCTCCCCAGCGAAGGGATTACAGCTGTGCACCACCATGCCCAGATTCAGTGGCCAGCTCAGTGTGGCATGTGGTGCCAGGAATCACACCCAGTCCCTGCGCTTGCCTAAGCAGGTGCTTAGTCCACTGAACTATCTCATCAGCCTTTTAATACTTCTTGAATGTGCACATATTAGCAATTTTTTAAAAAAATTAAATCATTAATAATTTCAAATCTTAACTTCAGGTAGTTAATGGTCACCCATAACTATTTTCCATAATTAAATGTCTATCATAGAAAGAAAAGGTTTGGAAATATGTAAAAAGGAGAAAGTTTCAAGAAAATAGAAAAGGTCAACAAACATCAAATGCTATGGAAGAATGAAAATGTGAATTAAAAAGATGATAAACTTGGGTTCATCCATTTGGAGATTTATACTCTTTGGGGAGAAAAATTTAAGACAGTAGTATAAGCAATAGCCAGACTGACATACATCGATCAATGAATTCAATGAGGCAAGAGAGATAAGATATTTTTAGTGGAGAGTTAAAGTTTCTTAAATAAAAAGATAACATTGATCGTATCTGTCCAGCATTTCTAGGTATGCTATTTTACATGAGAACACTGATCTTATAATCAGAATTTCCTAAGTCAGCTATAGTTTGATAATTTACCAGATTATAGTATGCTGGCCAGCTATTTCATTGCAGTAGAGAACACTTCAGGAATTCTGTTGGTCTCTGAGGGATGAGATTGCTGAATATCTAAGGTTTACTCAGCTCTCACACTGGATGATTGAAGGTGGACAAACATGTGCAGTTGTTGAGGCCATGGCTTTGGAGGAAAGCAATCTGAATTTACCCTTATAAGTTACATGGTTTGTAAGAGAAAACATAACCTCTCTATGTCTTGATCTTTTTACCTGTTAAAGAGGATAGAAAGTCTTACCCAATAATTTCAATATACATCTCATTGAACTTCCCTGTGAGTTGTCTTTCCAGTACAGAAAGGGACTCTGCGATTCAAAAGGCAACCAGCAGGATTTTCATGATTGCCTAATATCTTTGCAACTAGGATCATATTATTTATGGGCCATCCCTTGGGTTTCATTTTTTTATTATCACTGCTACTGAAATTTTAAACTTGAAGACTCTAGCTGTTGTATGCATATCAGAATTGAAGAACTTACAAAACTTCAGTCATCCTATGGCCACATAGATTTTAGCCATTTGAGAGTAACTGTAAAATCAGACTAACCTTGTCTCATTATTTCTAATCTTATATGAGAGTCTGATTCCACAGTAGGAAATGTGAATGATTTCAGAAAAGGAGAAGAAAAGGAGCCAAAAGAAACTGATCAAAATCTGTCTGCCCAATGAGCTAATTCTTACCAATTTTACTGTTCATGATTGCATTGATTTTTCTGTGGTTTTAGAGATAAAACATAAGAAAATAACATTTTTAATGTTCTATGTCTTCTTTTGCATCACTATGGAAATACCAACCAGAAATGAAATTGAGAACACAAAAAGACAGCTAAAAGAAATTAGGAGCAAAGTGATACAACCCTACTTCAGCTCGGAACTGAGCCAGCTGTATGAGGCCCAGGTAACTGAATGTAACAATTACAATCTTTATAAAAGCTACAGATGGCTCGCGTTAATATATAATCTATCTTTCCTGGTTTTGTTTAATTTTCTACTGCATCAATCTAACAAAATCCATATTCTCACAAGGAAATTACTCTCAGTTCCCCTTCCACTGCAGAAATTCTCTACCAATGTATTATTATACTGTCCCTCCCTGCCTTGTTTTACTGAGATTGAGTGGAAGTGGGGCCATGCCCACCCCTGTGCCCTCTCACAGCCAGGAGGAAGCACCTCCTCCGACAGCTTTGTTGCCCTTCCATTTTACTCCTCCTCACCTCCTCAAAGGTAGCATGAGGCGAGTAGCCCGGAGCTTCCCACCACCACAGGGTCACCTTCACCAGCTGTCATCCAGGCTCCACTGGTAGCTGCAGTCCCTTCCCTGATGCTCGGCCACTCAGGTTGCTGTTTCCAATTCTCTGTGATACAGCCAAAAAAAGAAAAAATCTGTACCTGACACGACAAAGATGGGAGAGTAACCAGCACCTATTGCTGAAATCCCCAAGCCCCACAGAGCCATGATAAACACTGCCTACCCTCCAGAGACTTCTCAAAAAGGTGGCATTCCCAATTTCAGTCCCACCATTTTCAGGGAACTGTGGAAGCTGCCAATCAAACAGTTGGTTCTCCTGAAGTTTACAACTGCCCCAGACACCCCATGCCACCCCAAAGATACTTGCCTTGGCCACAGCAGGCTTGAAATAGGAGCCTATCATAGAAGACTCTGCCCTGGAGCCACAGCTGGTGACTGTGCCTTGCCTGTCCCCTATTACTGTGAAAATTCTTGAGTAGTTCCATGACATGTGCAAAACTGTGGGCACTAGTCTGCTTCTGCTAAAGATGAGCGGCATTGTCTCACATTCCTGCGCTTCCTGGCAGAGGACCCCCGCTGGTGCACCCAGTTGTTGCAGCACCGGCATACATGGGTGCTTGTTTCTGGTAGTATAGGAAAAGCAAGTTGCACTGTTAAAAGTGCTGAAGATTTCAGACAGTGGCCAAGATTGGCAGAAATCATTAGTGACCAGTAGCAGAGACCAGCAGACACGGGCAGGGACCTGCGGAGAAGCTTAACAGGTCCAGTGGAAGGAGCTGGAGGAGCTCTTGAAAGATGCCAAAGGGACTTGAACCTCGGCTTTTGGGAAACCACAGCTGGGAGCTATAAGGCAGAGGCCTGGGAGCCACTTGCACACATGCAGAACTACCAGTGCTGCTGCACTTTGCCAATGCATGGTCTCCATTTAAATTGAGCAGAAGAACCGTCAGCCCATGGTGATTTTATAACTGGTAGTTATCCACCCCCAAGTATTTTAAGCCCTTGGGGGTGAGCGCGAGTGCTGCCTATCAGTGATTATTTCCTGCTTTCCTTCTTTTCTCAATTTTTTTTTTTTTTTTTCCAGAACTGGGGATTGAACTCAAGCCCTTGTGTTTGTCAGGCAAGCGCTTATTCCACTGAGCCATCTCCCCGGCCCCCAAAATGGAATAAGGTTTTTTTGGTTTTTTTTTGTTGTTGTTGTTCCTCAAATGCCTTCAGGGCACTTTTGGCCAGCGGGAGAGTTGTGAGGTTCAAACTCCAACAACCTGAGGCTGCCAGCTTTGTGGAAGCAGCCACTTAAAGGACTGAGCTAGGGCCAGGGCCCCGATTATTTCCTGATAGATTCCAGTTTGAAACTTTTATGCCATCAAAAGTTCCACACTCTCCAGCTACTATGATAGCGCTAACACATGAGTTCCCAGACCCTGCACAGGCAGAGTGCTCTCCTCTCAGCAACGCGTCTCAGCCACAGGCCCAAGCTCCCTCACTACCTGGGAGTCACTCAGACCCTGTAGCAAAATGAACCCTTCCTGTGTTCATGACGCCTGCACTCCTCGAAGATTCCAGATGCTGCTGGTAACAGAGCCCATACAAGAAGAAATTATAGAAAATTATAACATATTAGCAAAGACTAGAAATCAGTCTTAAGCCTTCTCTTCAGGACTGGCCAAGTAGCTCAGTGGATTAAAGCGCATGCAAGCGGGCACAGGGGCCGGGATTGGGTCCCTGGGACTGCCATGCTAGCCCACCCTCGGGGCTTCCTCAGACTGCACTGGGGACTGGGTGTGGTGGTGCGTGCCTGTAATCCCAGCTCTTAGGAGGCTGTAAGTAGGCGGATCACTCTGAGTCCAATCTAATAGTGAGACCCTGAACACCCTATAGACCCTTCCCTAGAATGCCAAAAAAAAAAAAAAAAAAAATCATTCTGTTGGAGAACTTCTCATTTATTTTCATGGCCTTAAAAATATACTTTCATCATCACTCACCAGCTGAATGTATTTGTGCCAATTGCCTTTGAGCCATGTGTGAGTCTAAAATAAATCTGGCTTTTCTTTTAAGTATAAATATCTGGACAAGCTGTCAAAAAAACTGCCTCCTTTTCCAAAGAAAGATAAAGATGCAAATGAAAAAGCCTTTCAAGATACATCTGATCTTCATTCAGGTAATATGTTAATGTAATTCTTATTCCTACTAACTGAAGACTACTAATAGCAGGCTCTTCAAATAAGATTACTTTTGTCATAGTGATAACTGATGACAGACCCAACTATGATCTGGATATCATGGATTTGGTTAAGCCACACGAAGAAATCAAATTGTGAATAACATTTAAATTTCATTTTTGTGTTTGTAATTTACCCCAAAGCATGACGAAGACCAAATTTAAAAATAAAAATGTAATAAAAAGTTCTTGAGGAAATGGACATTCACATAGTCTTAAAATGCCAACCCATGAACACTAATTAAGTAAATAAAATGCACACTTACAATGGAGGTGTGGCATTTTCCACACTAACTACATAATTGTACTCTACCAGTAACAAGGTAGACTAGCACAAGTGCCTTCTGCCTCCTTCACACGGTACTCCAGGCAGCTACAACTGTTCAACCAGGGTCAGCACACACAAGTTGAAAAATACTGTTCTCCCCAAACAGATTTATTTTTTAAATGTTTCATGTTATGATTATATCTTAGAAATGTTTAATAAAGGGTTACATTGAAAGAATAGATTTAAGATTAGATCTGTTTTCCAAAAAAACAATCATAGGGACCGGGGAGATGGCTCAGTGGAATAAATGCTTCCCTGGCAAGCACAAGGGCCTGAGTTCAATCCCCAATTTCTGAAAAAAAAAAAAAAAATGATATCTCAGTCACCATCACCAAGTAAAAGTAGCAACAAGTTGACCTTTCTATCATACTACAAGGTGACAACTCTCCTGTTTGGTCAGACTGCCCACAAAGACACAGCCAGCAACCAGGAAACACATACTGCACAGGTAATATCCTCCTATTGGCTATTGGACAACACAGGACCCTATTGTGAACAATCTCTGCCTTTTGATGTCTTTCATATATTTAATCATTTCCAGGCAGGGGGGAGAAGGCACCTTGTTCTCTGTAAAACATACTGTTCAGTGTTTCTGTTGATACAAGCACTAGTGATCATATCATTGCCCGAAATATTTTATAATGCCTATTTGGGGATTCTTTTAGATTCCAGGCCATCCACAGTTTCACAGCAGGAACCTTCAAATGTGCTTCGATGTTCAAAATCAGAGATTTCTCAGGACACTAAGGAGTCCTCTAGCCAGAACCAAAACAAAAATTTAACAAAATCTACTGAAGGTATGGCGGTCACTTGTTTTATCTAATTGTTCCTCAGAACTAAACACTATATTCTTTTTTTTGTTTGTTTTGTTTTGTTTTTTGGGGTTTTTTTTATTTTTTTTTAATGTTATTGATGAACAGATAGCAATGAGACAGTTTCAGATCAAATCGGAAGTACAGATTCAACAAATAACACACTGCATATATTCTTCTTAGTGGTTAATTGCTGTACAAGATGCGGACTTGAGATCCTATTTACAAA